CGTTGAATATATAGAGCAAAGAACGTACCATTTTCATCCTCGGAATCAGATGAATCGGACGCAATACCGCGTGAAGACGGCCGTTCCTCTTCCTCTTCTGACGAAGATTCTGGTTGAGTCGTGCTCGCCTCTGTAACACAACAAGCAAACAAAAAAAATAAAATATCAAAAACTACTTTGAAACATCAACTCTCGACTACTTTTAAAACTAGACTGAGAAAACAGCCGACATTGATTTCCTCGCGAAATGAATTCTGAGGAACGAGCGTGGAAATTTTGATTCGTCGTGGCGCCAGGGAAATTTGCTTCGGCCAATCAGAAGCACTATCTAGAACTACGTAGAAAGTGACCCGTCATCAGTATGGAATTACTGCGCTCGTTTCTCGCGCGTCATTTCGCGGGAAACCAGTTGTGGGGTCGCGAAAGGTGGGCTGTTTTCTCAGGTTAATTCAAAACGTTTTCCGTAACTTACAGGAGTTGTGTCACGAAATTCAGCCAAATTAGGAAATTACAAAATGCCTGTTAAATTAAGAGAAACATAAAAATAACCGTTTAAAACGTTAGAGGAAGGTTAAAATAACATAACAGAAACAACAGATGTCACGGATGGGCAAAACTGAAGAAGATTGAAAAGGATTGAAATTAGGATTTTTGAAAACTGTTCAGCCTAACAGTTTTTTAAAGTTGATCCCTGCTGCTTGCAACTTCAAGAATAATGCTCAGGAGACATATATGTCTGTCTAGGGTCCCTGATTTTGTCATTTACGTGTAATTTCTTTGCTCACTTAAAGTTCCATAGCGATTGAGGGCGAGTAATTGGCAAAATTAAAGAAAATGAACTGGACTGCCGTGGTACAGCTCCTTTAAGAATATTTGTAGTCTTAATCTGTACGCATCAGTTACAGTAATCTTCGTATTCAGAAAAATTCGCTTAAGATCTGTTGATATTGCAAAAGTCGCGAAAACAGTAGCTGTATTACCTGACTTATCCGGTTGTTCCCAAATTTTTCTTGCCAGTTCTAAAAAATAATCAAATACAATTACGCACGGGTTGACTCAAAATTCAAATTAAAGCAGTGATGGAGATTACTGCTCCATCGGTCAATAAATTAAACATAGACGCTAGCTTACAAGTACAAACGAAAAAAATGCTTACCTAGTTCTGGATTATCTGGGTATTTACTCTTTTTTACAACTTCACCATCTAAAAATAAAAACAGTGACACCAGCGTTATGAAACTACGGCGACTACAAGGGGAATGGGCACAAGCTTTCGGCGCAACGATTTCTGGGATCGATTGGTTGGGCAAGCGTTACTTATGATTGGTTAACGGTTGCCTTGGATACCATCGACCAATCGTAACAAACGCTTGTCCACCGAAATGATCCCAGAGATCACTTCTCCCACAGCTTGTACCCATCCTCCCTGGAGTTGCTGAAGGAAGGAATGCTCAAATTCCTTAGTGGGAAATTTGTGGAAAGGCGAAACAAATGATGGGGTATTGAAGGAGTGTGAGGAAAACTAAACCAGCTTGATATCCAAGGAGAAATGCAAAATTAACTGTAGGAATCAGTCTACAGGAGGCGGCCGCGTGAAAATTTACATTTTNATCTGTTCCGTCTTCAGTCGTATAACGACTTGTGATGCTGCTGCGGAACCCGCTACTCGACGGCTCCGTGGTAGATGTGCTGGTGGCGTTGCCCTCATCGTCAAAATCGTACGGCGTCCGAAGTGGCGCCATTTCTCCAGGATGGTACGAGCGTTTCTACCAAAAGAAAGACGAACCAGTGAACTTTTAAGATACAGAACGACACTAAAAGCTACACAGCCTCCTTTACTTAAACAAGATGACCTGTTCATCTTAGGGGAGGTTTTAAATTTTAGAAACAAAATTTATTTCATTAGCACACACACGCTCACATGGCTACGGTCCTTGGGAATGGCTACAAGTGAATTTCGCGCCACTTTTAACTAAATCCGCACAAGAAAAGCAACACCGAAAGTTCCATAGTCTCCCACCCTTCGCGTCTGTTACATGCTTTGCGACGAGCTCTATTTGGTTAACTGGATTGTCACGACCTGATGTGATTGGTCAGAATGATTCCTTTGGTATTGATTTGACGAACCAAGAAGACACGCGAGTAAAATCAGGTCTTTTCAAGCTGCTAAGACCAGCAGGGGCGGTTGAAAACGGAATAGTTATCATGAAACGAATACAACGCTTTTGACTTACAAAGTGTTGCGTTGGTTTCTGCAATCCGTATGTCTTGTCACCAGTCTTCCATCGCATGTACACGTTCTTGAATTCTTTTCTTACCTAATTGATTACACCAGACGGACAAAACTCAACACATTAATAATTAAATAAGAGTGATCGCCCCTAGAAATGAGTTAAATTACTTACCGTCTTATCCAGCAGAAGATAAAATACGAATATAAACAATCCCTGCGAAATGATAAACAAAAACATTTTACAAGATAGTTTTAGCATCGCATTTAAAACACTGAATTGATCGTTCTATACCTATATTAGATAAAATAACACAGTAAATCTATATTTGGGTAAAATGACTTTGTACCATTCCAATAAAGGCTACTCAGCAGTACTTTCCCGTGGAAAGGTTTATTATGCTTTCAACAGTGGTTCTAACTTTGGAGTCTGTGGATGAAATCCTAAAGTGTGACCATTTAAATGAAAGCTACTGAGCAGTTCTTTCTTAGTGAACGGTTCATTATGCTGTAAAAAGGAGTTCTAAGTTTTGAGTCTGTAATAAAAAACTGACAGTGTGACCTTTGAAATGCCAAGTACCGTAGAGTGATACTATATTTCTTTTCAGCATTTTACTAGAAGAAATTTAGAAGTTTTCTGGCATTTGTCTTGCACCCTCATGGAAGTGAAAGTGGAAGAAAGGTAGCCCGCTTACCTGGGAAAAGGTGAAGCCTGCAAAGATGTAATGGAACATGGCCAGTTCTTGGTTAACCAACAACAGTCCCAACGCGAATGAAACACCGATAAGCGGAAGAAGACCAGCGGTCGCACGCAAACCAGCGCTAAAGGAATAACAAGTAACGTTAGTCAAGGACATCTTGATTGTTTCTTATGTTAAATAGTCAACAGAAACGTGTGGAAAACGTAACGCTTTCCATCATTGAGTTTACTCACTTAAGGTTGGGGTGCTCGTTGTCATGGTGATGGTGATGACGGCGGCGTCTTTTCCTGGACTGTTTTTGGAGTGAGATAAACAGAGCCATGATGAACACAAGCGTGTTAAGCTGCAACAATAAAGTACACGGCTGTTAAATGGCCTGTTAAACCGTGCGACTCCCAAGATCTGATAAGTCATTCTCCTTTCTGGTTGCTATACATTTTATTGTACGTTAGTTAAGAGAATTTGCGGTTATATCGAAGCAGCAGCATCTGGCTTTTATTAAGCAGAAGTTACATACCCATCACTTAAGGGGGTGAAAAGGTTCAGAGAAACAATTTTGATGCCAACTTACTGCGACGACAATGATGATTGGAATTGTGAACGTCCAGATAAGCGTTCCATCGGTTGACATCCAGCAGCTGAAACACATAAACACACAGGTTACATTAAGACATCTTGTGGGATTAACGATAGGCTCCTGCTCTCCGAACTGCGTTTCATGTTTGTTTTGTTGTTATTGTTGTGTTGAAATGGTTCTCAAAATTGTTTAACATCAACATCAAGCAGAGACAAAATAACTGATAAAGGCTAATGATTCGAAAACTAACGATAATTTTAGAATTTATTAGCAATGCAAGCTCCCCAGCACAGGATCAAGTAAAGACTGTTTTGCGCGTGAAATAACCGTCAAAAAAAAAATCGTAAAATAACAGAACGAGAAGGTATAACCCTTGTTAAACTTACAATTTCTTATTGCCATATCCTTCGCTCGCTAGACCGGCAGAAATTCCAATAACGATTGCTGGACATCCTGGAAAATAAAAATAACTAACGTTTAGAAGACGTGTTCTGTTGGAACATTTCCACAACATTTCCACCACCACCACATCACCGCCACATTAAGCATACGGAAACTGGCGTACCTCACCTGCAAAAGTATTACTCTCATTCTAACTTACCTCCTATACTCCAAGTCAAGAGGTATAACCCTACTCAACACAGTATAACTGATGTCACTTACCCCACCCCATGAAGTAATAGAACGACATTTTGCCAGTGTCTATATTCCGCTTCTCTCTCAGTCTGCGATACATGTGCAGTCCTTCCACAAACATCCACGAAAACGAGGCACAGAAGAAATAGTGGAGACATATGGCGACCAGCCTACAGATTCTCTGCAACAAACAAAATGCACAAAAAATTAATTGTTTTGACCACAATTCACTCTGACAAGATCTCGTGGTACCTTTTTCTTTTGGTACGTGGCTGATTCATAAACTATTTCGAGTGTCAACTATGTCGTTGACAACAAAATTTGGGTGTGAAAGGAACTCAATGACAGATGCCAGACCAGAATGTCCAGGCCGACGTGGGATATCTGACATACATTTATTCACAGCCATTAACCTTTCAACTTCAGGAACTGCACTGTGCAAAAGTCCTGCCAAAGAAGATTTAAAAGTTACAGCGACAAATAATTTCACTGTAACATGGTCTAGCGCATAAGCATAAGCATTAGCACAAGCACATGAGTAAGCAAGTGAATACTGGGTCGACATAAGCATAAGCATATTAGCACAGGAAAAACGGACAAGTTCGTTCTTCTTGTGCTTGTGCTTATGTCGTAGCTTTGATTAGTAAAAACTGGGTCAACAAAAGCACAAGTATAAGGACAAGGCCGTGGACCAATCATAGGTCACTTTGACCCAGACCTCATACGAACATATTAAAAGCAATATGTCCGCCATCTTGTTTATCATCGGGTTGAGGAGAGCTGGTATCGAGAATTGAGTCAAATATGCCATTTGCGCGCGCGTATGTCCTTATGCTTATGCTTATGCGCTAGTGAAACCCGGGCTTAAGAGTAAAATGGTTTAGAGACGCAAGAGAGAGCATTGGGAAAATATTCGTTTTTCCACAACGTTTTGGGTTTCTAACAGTAAAATAAATAAAAATACCTGATCTGCAGTTCTGTTAATTCCTACGAGGAAGGTTAGCTCAGCAATGAAAACAGCGACGATCAAGTTCTTGTGAATTGTGACGGAGTTGCTCTTTAGTTTCCTGTAAAGTAACAATCGCGATGAGTCAGCTATGTTCGTTCTCCAAAGTTACAATTATCAATTTAATTTACACAAGCCGGCTTCCTGATAAGGTCTTTTACTCCACGTAGTTATCTGGTGTCCGGTCGTTTCGCTACAAAGTCGTTTCGCTGCATAATGATGTCGATTCGCGGCGAAGTTGTACAGTCGTTTCGCTGCCTCACGAAGTTAAAAACTGCTCCAAAGATTGCTGGTGTTCATTTAATTTTTGATGATTAACTCAGTGAAATGGTAATTAACTCGTTAGTATTATCCGTTTGTAGTTAATTTTAAGTGTCTTTTAAGCGGTTTCATATACAAAAAGTAAATTTCTGGGCCACCCGGACATGATACAGCGAAACGACTTTGCAACCAATCGACTTAATTTTGGAGTGAACGACTTGTGGCGAAACGACCGGTTTGAGAAAGGCTTCAGAGTGTGCAGGCACATTTGACGTTAAAGTTGCACAAGCGCTTGTCATAGCTCCCTACTACTGAACTTGAATAACCACAGTTCAAAATTTCTTTTATCGACGGCGGTAGCTCTACGAAACTTACCTTATTAATATGAAGAGAATAAAAGCGACGAGTAACAGGAACAGTGACACAGAGATCCCAACGTAAGTCACCAACTGCATTGCAAAGGCCGCCTCTTCGGGATACTGCAATAAAATGAAGCATTTTAACATCACAAGCACGACATGAAGAATCTTTTATCAAAGGGAACTATTCCCAGCATATCCCGCGCAATTAGTAACCTGTATATGGTCACAGAACAACCAGCAGAACTGTTTCCCGCCAAAAGTCCACAAGCAGAATGTTGTCTACTATTGCACGTGGATAGAACGTAAAGTGATAGGGGCATGACGTTACCAGCGCCTCTTTCAACGCAGAATAGTAAGGCATCTGACTTGGGAGAGTTAAAAAGAAGCCTTAATCAGTCATTACCAACTACTGCGGCCTTACCTGGAGGTTCAAATCCGATAGCACTGCAAAAGCTGTCATGTGTTTACATGCGCACACCGTATGGCTGATGTTTGACGACTTCAACTCACAACCATCACGTGACCATCCGCCTCCCCTGGTGTTCCTGTAACAAACAATATGAGACAAAGTCAGTGGACTAAGCGTGCGCGCCCCTTTCTTCTACCAGAACATAGTGAGTCAAAATGTTAACATACGTTGACAGCTGTTTCAACCTTGTTGGACTTCATCATCTCAGCTTAGCTAACACCCTTGAACCCAGGATCCCATAAAAATATATTTACTTCGTTAATGTGAAACCATCCAATTTCACTACAAAAGTCAAGACATGGCGCGCAACACCACGCGATATAGGGCTCTAACTTTTAAGTCTATTGACAATATATGGTGCGACCTCACTTTCGTAAAATCATGAGTAACTGTGTTTGGTTTGGTATATTTATACTTACGGTACTGAATAGTTCCAGTGAACGCAAATATACGACGAACGATTGACCTGCAATGAAGAAGAGTAGGTAAGCTTCGAAGATTGGTTTATCGGTAACAGTGTGTCATGTCGCAACCTTAAGGGCAGGTAACGCCCCGACTCAACTATCTGTACGCTTGGAATAGGCTAAGTGCTATTATAAAAAGCTATCAGCTTCGCGATATCTAAAGATAAGAGCTTCCTTACGGCTATGAAATTGCTTAAACAACTGCCTTATGTAACGGCAGTTTAACCTGACAACATCAATTTTCTCCTAACAAAGTTCTTTGAGTTTCTATCAAATTCTCTTAACTAAGTCTACAAGGAAATGCATCGAGATCAGTCGGGAGTATTTGTATGTAGATATTGATGCTTACGGGGTTAAGCTCCGCAACACAGTCATCCCTCTCGCAACGGACACCTAGATTTAAACTCTGCCAGTCGTCTTTCATTTTCCTTCACTGCCTAGTAGACAAACAACTCCCCACCTCACTTAACCGTACACAGTGCCGGTTGCAATGGTGTCCGTCCAAAAAATACATCTATTTAGCATTGAAAACACAAATTTAATCAGCAGAACCATAATACGTACCAGACGGTTAGCGAAGAAGATTTGAACTGGGTCGTTCAGAGACATACTCTCCATTTGCGGAAGATTAACAGTTATCACATCAGAGGTGACTTCTACATTGTACTTTGTGTCCCTGAGAAGGTACCAATGCGACAACAGATTAGCAAATAGGCTCGATTACCAGCCGCTGCTTGGGAAATGAGCCCGCGCTCCTCCCCCGGGGAGGACCGAGAAAGGGGCGGAAATCGAGCCTAATTAGCAAACGGTTTTTCACAATTTACGGATCGCTTAGCCGCTTTAAGTAACCGGGTCAATTATAGAGATAGGTATCATCTGCCTGTCTGCTGTCAGTCAGTCTGTTGTTCTATCTGTCTGTTTATGGACTCCTCGATTTCCACGCCTGCGTTCTTATGCCCGCATACAGCTCCACTAAAAACGCCCGCGCGGAAGGCTGGTGGCTGGTGGGCTCCAGTCTCTCTCCAATTCCCCACACTATAAGGGGAATGGGTACAAGCTTTCGGCACAGAGATTTCTAGGATCATTTGGGAGGACAGGCATTACTTATGATTGGTTAACGGTTGCCTTGGATACCATCTACCAATCATAACTAACGCTTGGACAATCCCAGAAATCACTGTACACAAAGTTTGTACCCATTCTCTCTAAAGTTTCTAAAGTGGGGAAAAACTCGCAGCTTGCTTCTCTTCACGCTCGCAAATCGCACCCTGTAGAATCTCACTCTTCAAAATCCAAATAAAGAGGTTCCTCATAAGCTGACTTGTTACGTTTTACAACAAGCTGAGTAACTAATTGTTGGCTACAGTTTCAAGACCATTTTATCTAAACGTTAAGGGAAAAGGCAGGTACTCACCTTATTTTAGCGTCGAATGACTTGGGAAGCAAGTCTCCGATGTTTCGAATTATCATAAAACCAATTCCTAAATCGTTGTCTATTCCTGGGTAAAAAGAAAGATATCATATTACTTCTACCCCCCAAAACATCTGTGAAACCCGCCATACGAAACGACCGGGTGAAAAGAAAGTTATCATATTACTTCTACCCCTCACAATTTCTATGATACCAGCCATATTAAACTCCTGGTTGAGAAGAAACATATATTACTTCTATCGCTCTTAACTGCTTTGAAGCCCGCCATACCAAGCCTAGCCCTAAGATTCATAATCTGTTCTTCGCTTTCTTCAAAGAATCCCTTACCCTTGTTACATTTTTTGTGAATTGTTTCTCAAGATTACTCCTGAGGATAATAATGAGATATTTAGATTCGAATATAACAATGCAATGAACAAGATCTCCTGAGTTTCAGTTTGATTAACGGTTGAAAGAGATCTTTAGGATCGATAAATCTGTCTCACCTTTCACATCTTTGAAGAACGTCTTGGGGATGTCGATCCTGCTGGAGATATTTCGCCAGATTTTGTACTGTCCATCGCTATAAAGGTCACTTTTTGCTGGGTATGAAAATCCTTCAAAACCATTTACAAACACTGGATGCAGTTCCATAACTAGAAAACAAATAACAGGACAGGCTATTTTTAATTGATTTTCTCATCAGGGGAGAGAGAGCCCGAAAAAAAGGGAGCGAAAAGTTCCTCTCTTTCGTTTCCTCTTCTCGTTTCTAGCAGGCCATACAAACGAGAAATGGGCTAAGGATAAGAATTAAGTCTCACACTTCCGTGCAATGTGAAACGTTTAACACTGGGTCTCGAGGATGTAACGATCAGCAACGAAAGTCCACAGAATTTATAAAAAAATCTAACAAAATACTTTTCAAAATGCTCAGAATCGTTTCAGAATCATTTCCCAGCTCTCCTCAGAATGAATCAGAATTTACTTCAGATAAATAATTCTTCATTTTGTTCTGCTTTTCCATGCAACAAGTTTGAATAGCAACTCAATAGGACGCTTTATTTATCAACATGTTGTTTACCAATGTTTGGAGTGAGTATCGTGTAGGGAAGGATAACTTTGTCTGTATCGCGTCTGGCTCGATGTGATTTTCTCTTGAGGTAAGGAAGGCTACTTGCGAGGTTACCACTGAAGTTTTCCATCTGCTGAAGGAGAGCTGCCGTCCCTGCAGAATGCTGTGGAAAAAAAAAATTGGAAAAATACTGTCAAGTTGAAAAAACAAAACCTATACGCTCGTTCAATTCCGCGGTCACTTAAATAAACAAGAGCAATACCTACTAAAAACAACTGACAGATCTTTTTAACTAACAGTGTTATTTGCAGACATGAAAATAATCATGCGTATTTAGGGTCTGGTCGTTTATTACTTGTGAGGGGTGGGGGGG